ACTAAATATATATATGTATATATTTATATTTATATTTTATATTTATATTTATATTTATTTATATTTATATTTATATATAAAATCCAAGTGACTGGAACTACCAGAACGACCAAAGACCGGTTGCTATGACGCACACTGCGGCCGGCCATCTGGCCTGATCGGGAGTGGGGCCAGTCGGCCAACCTCCTAGGCTCCTTCCCCCGGCTAGCCTGGCCCCGATCAGGGCTCAGGGTGGGCTGGCCGGACCCCACCCATGCACGAATTTGTACACCAGGCCTCTAGTTAGGAAATAAAAGTAATGCGTTTCTAATCTTGAAAACATGTACAAGGATAAGTTGATGAAACAATAGTTTATTGTGTGAGATAATGCAGATTGGTATTGAGAAAGAAAAAGAATAGGGCAGTATTCCTGTTTAGGTCATAGTTAGATCTGTATTTTAGTTATAAAAGAATTCTAACAAAGTAGCCATTAGACCAGACATTTAATTCAATTCTCTTTAGAAGAATCTGTTTTCAAGCCACTTAAGAAAGTCACATTATCTATAGTAAAATTATTATTGTTATTTTAATATCAAGAGACAGTTTCTGACTTAATCATCCATCTAAATCACTAGGCTTGGCTTTAGGTTATTTTCATCTATTACAAAAAACTAAGTCTAAAAACAGGTGTTTTGGTGGAAGGATGTTTCTAAGGCCTTGTTGGCATTCCTGAATACAATGGGTAAAGCTCCGACCCTTCAAAAGTATTGCTTTGACTATGCCCCGACAAGAGTGAATGTTTGAGGTGATTTTTATTAACATTCCGTTCCCTCCTAATTTATTCTGAAACCTATAATTATGTTAATTAATAGAAACTTAATAGGTTTTCTGAATTAAATTTGTACTTTACCCTAAAAAGAGCTGAGACAGTCTGGAAAGAAGAGCCTTTCTTCTTAGCACCTTTCTTTGCACCAGTGTCTGAGGTAAAAAGAAAACCCATCAATTAAAGTAGAATCCCAGAGGCTGGAATGCTACGTGAACATGCTGTGGGAATGGGTTGAAGTTAGATTAAGAGCACAGAAAGTACCTGCTTCTGTTCCAGCGTATGTGGAAAAGAGACTGGCCAGAGTCTTCATTGAAGACTTCTGGTACAGCCCAACCACGGTCTCATTCAGGGGGTCCTTGTTCTTGTCAAGCCAGCCAGCAATGTTGTAGTCCACGGTGCCCGCATAGTGGATCAGAGAAAAGTGGGCCTCAGCCTTGCCTTTGACAACCTTGGGCTTCTGGAAGTTGGCAGACTTTCCCAGGTGCTGGTCATACAGCTTGTTCTTGAAGGAGGCGTCTGTGGCCTTGGGGAACATGCACTCCTCTTCCAGGATGGAGAAGATGCCTAGTGGCTGAATTCAGAAGAGTAGACATTGGTGTCAACCTGTCTTCTTTCAAAAGATACAGTGGCTTATGATCATTTCCCAATTAATTATATTTATAAAGTAAAACAGAGTCATAGCTGAAGTCCTTTTGTTATTGCTAGAATGACCTTTCCACCCTTTTTTTTACATTCAGCCCACAGTATCATTTTTTTCACTTTAAATTTTTTTACAGTTGACATACAATGTTATATTAGTTTCAGGTGTACAACCCAGTGATTAGACATTATGTAGTTTACTAAGTGATCATCCCAATAAATCTAGTATGCATCTGACACCATACATAGTTGTTACAATATTATTGACTATATTCTCTATGCTGTACTTTATATCTCATGACTATTCTGTAACAATCAATTTGTACTTCTTAATCCCTTAATCTTTTCACCCATCCCCCAATCCCACTTTCCATCTGGCAACTATCAAAATGTTCTCTGTCTCTTGAGCCTGTTTCTGTGCTGCCTGTTCATTTATTTTTTTTTAGATTTAATTAATGATAGATATGTATTTTCTGCCATTTATTATTCATATTTTTATCTCTTTTCTTCTTCTTAAAGAAGAGCCTTTAACATTTCATGTTATACTGGTTTGGTGGAGATGAACTCCTTAGCTTTTTCTTGTCTGGGAAGCTCTTTATATGTTCTTCAATTCTAAATGATAGCTTTGTTGGATAGAGTGATCTTGGTTGTAGGTCCTTGCTTTTCTCAGTTTGACTATTTATTTATGTATTTTTTGATTAATACATAATTTAAAAAATCCTCACCCAAGGATATGTTTTTATTGATCTTTGAGAAAGGAAGGGAGACAGAACATGAGAGAGAGAAACATTGATGTGAGAATCATTGACCAATTGCCTCCCAAACAAGCCCTGACTGGAAATCAAACCTAAAACCTAGCCCAACTGGTGTGGCTCAGTGGTTGAGTGTTGACCTATGAACCCCAAAATCATGGTTTGATTCCCTGTCAGGGCTCATGCCCAGATTGTGGGCTCGGTCCCCATTAGGGGGCATGCAGGAGGCAGCTGATGAAGGATTCTCATTATTGATGCTTCTATCCCTCTCTCACTCCCCCTTCCTTTCTCTGAAATCAATAAAAATATATGGAAAACAAAACAAAACAAAAATACCCCACAAACCCAAAACCTAGGTATGTGCCCTGACTGGGAATGGAACCAACAACCTTTTAGTGTACTATATGATGCTTCAACTAACTGAGAAACCCTGGCCAGGGCCAGTTTGAATATTTCTTGCTATTCTCTTCTGGCCTGCAAAGTTTCTGCTGACAGTCTTATAAGAGTTCTCTTGTAGGTAACTAACTACTTTTCTCTTTCTGCTTTTAAGATTCTTTCCTTGTCTTTAACCTTTTGCATTTTAATTGTGGTGTATCTTGGTATGGGCCTCTTTAGATTCAACTTGTTTGGGACTCTCTATGCTTTCTGGACTTGTCTGTGTATTTCATTCAACAGGTTAGGAAAGTTTACCATCATTAGTTCTTCACAAAGGTTTTCAATCTTTTACTCTCTCTCTCTCTCTCCTCCTTGTGGCACCCTCATGATGCAAATGTTGATACACTTGAGGTTGTCCCAGAGATTCCTTATACTACCCTCATTTTTTGAATTCTTTTCCTTTTTGCACAGCATGATTTTTACTAAAAGAAGAGCTGGATCCAAACTCCAAATGTCAGCACAGCATGGGGGGTGAACTGTTAAAAGGTTCTATACTGATTATACTTGTTTCCTATTGAATGAATTAACCTATTGACAAAGTTTTGTTTTGCTATGAAAAGTACTTAGAATGATGGTTACTTTATATGCAATAATTAAATACTATAAATAAATCAAACTTATGTAAGACATTTTGTGTATTTAATCTCCTTAAAGATAGATTATGAAAAAGCATAAGCACTTTGATTTCTTGACTTCCAAACAGATTAACTTTCATATAAGCTCTAGCCGTGTTGCTTGTGCATTAATTTTAATTTAGGAAAAAGACTTATTTTTATTGGATCATGATGGAGATGGATTTAGAACTAATGAGGCAGTTCCTCTAGTGAAGCAGACCATATCAATAAAGTCTTCAATGCTGCCTTAAAATTAGATTAGAATCAGTGTTAGAAGAAAAACTGGTTGGAACAAAATGAAACTAAGCACTGTGGTACCCTCGTACGTAAAAGTTGAAAAGAAAAAGTTATTTCTAAATAGTAATTTTCTAATTTGTATTACAATTTAAGATTAATGTAATACCTTTTAGAGTTGCTTAAGATACTTGGAAAAGCTATCCTTACAGTTCAGCCTTTAGAAGTCAAACTGACCTTCTCGATGAGCTCAATGCAGGCAGCCAGGTCCATCCCAAAGTCAATGAACGTCCACTCGATGCCTTCCTTCTTGTACTCCTCCTGCTCCAGCACGAACATGTGGTGGTTGAAAAACTGTTGCAGTTTCTCGTTGGTGAAGTTGATGCACAGCTGTTCCAGGCTGTTATACTGCACAAAACAAAATTTTCAACATTAAATGGATTTTATCGTAGTAAAATTCATTATTGAAAAAATATTTTATTTTATTGAAAAACATGTAGAAGATATTAATGAAATAAAAATTAAATGAATTGTTGGTTCTTCAAAAATCCCAGGGAAAAATGATTATTTTTAACATGAACTCTTTCCATGAATTCTGAACATTAGTTAAAAACATATATATCAGTCATACAGCAAGAATTCTGATAGAATCTACCGCCTTCTACCTCTAAGATTTCATGGGCAATATTATTTATTAAAAGTACAACCGTGATTCTGTGAGTTATGGTTGAGATTTAAGGATGAAAGTAATGTATTAGAAACACTTCACTTCTTTTACCACCCTCATTCTCCAATTCAAGATAAAGCTCACATTTTCACTTTTGAGTGTCACGTTATTAAGGAAAGCTTATCTAATTTCTGTTCTATTCATTTAAATAATTTAGCAAATCCTCCTTGTCAGGTCTGTGAAAGTAGGGACCTGATATGGTATAGTAGTAATTGGAGATCTGAATCTTTGTTACAATTTACATCTTCATTTTATAGACAGTGAAGCTGATGCCCCAGGGGGGAAATGGTATGTGTCACATGAACTTGCCTCTACCTGTAGGCCCTTTCTCATTGATGGGCGATGCCTTGATGGACCAAATGCTTCAGAGCTGGGTTCCTGTCCTGGTTTTGCCTTATGTGGCTGGAGGATCTTTAGCATGTGTTTTGATTTTCCTGATCTCCATTTCTCCACATGTTATTTGCAGTAATACTAATTACTCCTTGGTGAGTTGTTTTGAAGGTTAAATCTTATTATTAAGTGCCAGAAATACATTTTCTCAATGAATGTTAGTTATCATTATTATTACATTCTGGTACCTCTTAGATATTTTGGAGGTAACTCTAGGAGCAGTGTTAGAGAAAGCAGTGCAGAAACTACAAATGCAAATGAATAATGATAATACATAGTACATATATCAAGTCCAAATTACCATCTCCCCACTTTTTATTAAAATGAAGATAGCTCACATCAAAGATCTCAAAGCCAGCGATGTCCAAGACCCCGATGAAGTACTGCCTGGGCTGCTTGGTGTCCAGCTGCTGGTTGATGCGGGTGACCATCCACAGGAACATCTTCTCATAGACGGCTTTGGCCAGAGCACCCACTGAGTTGTACACCTTCATGGACAGAGTAATGTTTTTGATGATGTTAAAGGCATTATTAAAGGAGTAATGTTTGCTGGAATTATTCAAAGACCAGGAATGTGTATGATTCTTTAGGGCCGTGCACTTACCTGCTGTACAGTCTGGCCTTTGGTGACATACTCATTGCCGACCTTGACCCTGGGGTAGCAGAGGGCTTTGAGCAGGTCAGCAGAGTTCAGATTCTGGAGATAGGCTGCCTTGTCAGCAACTTCAGAGATACAATTAGAGAAATGTTGTGTAATGGCAGATACTCTCTTTAATCCAATCTTTCTATTTTTCTCCAATCCATTTTTTTATTATTTAAGTAAAACCTTTAAATATTTCTATAGAATAGTGGTTCTCAACCTTCTGGCCCTTTAAATACAGTTCCTCATGTTGTGACCCAACCATAAAATTATTTTCGTTGCTACTTCAGAACTGTAATGTTGCTACTGTTATGAATCGTAATGTAAATATCTGATATGCAGGATGGTCTTAGGTGACCCCTGTGAAAGGGTCGTTCGACCGCCAAAGGGGTCGCAACTCACAGGTTGAGAACCGCTGCTATAGAAGGTCAGATGAGGCTCTCTGTACATTAGAGAATGTGCTTGCTAATAAGTGATCAATCAGTTACACTGGTCTTTTGTAATTTATTGCAAGCAGCTTTTGAGAAACTCACCCACAATAAACATATGTTCAGTGTTAATGGAAGTATTTTATGTAAGGTACAAGCCACAGTCTCTTCTCTTAAGAGACATTAGGTGTAGTTGGAGGGATAAGATAAATACATCTTAATATTTCCTGTTAGGGATGGGCAAAAGAATATTTGGATCCTTATCTTAGTTTTGCTCCTCCCAATTTCATCTCATTGGATCAGTTTCTTTATCTGAAAATGTGGGAAATAAATTTCACTACAGAGTCTCTAAAATTCTGTCAGTGACTATACTGTAAATGCCATATGTCAGGTACAGAAGTAATTGCTGAAAAGCTTAGGAGGTGGAGAGAGAATGCCAAGCTAGGAGGTCAGGAAGGGCCTCAAGGAGCAGATAACCAGCCTCGGTGGTAGTCCTATATGTTCCATGTTCTTTCTGTGCATGGAGTACACTGTTTTCCTTTCTCAGTTTCTTTTTATCTTGTTTTCTGCCTAGACTGTCTACAGGTTAATATATAGTCAACATACACGCATGCAGATGTCTAGGAACATCCTTCACCCTCAGCTGTGGCTGGTTAGATCCTGTATTACCAGCTACCAGGTTTATCTAGCTAGTGCTGAAAGAGACCACTAGGACAAGTTATCTTCTATACCTGCCCGCCATTGCCAAGGCAAGCCAGGAGCACTATTCCATCTCATTCTCTTTCTAATGATCGTTCCTTCTCTCCTCGCTCCCCCCCCCCCCCGTTGTTATTTTCTTACATATAAGTGGCTTATTAGGGTTCATTTTAACTTATTTGGGCTGGATAGAAATGATGGCAATACGGAGATGTGAGGAAGGAACGCGGGTGAGGAAAGCATGCAATGCATAAATGTGTGTGTGCCCTTCAGAAGTCTGACTAAAAAGATTTGAGTTTAGAATAAGCTTTTTTTTCTTGCCATTTTCTCTAATTTGAACCCAGATGGAGCTTCATGTTGTACCTTCAGTGCCGTCTGGCTCAGCTTGCTCCTCACGCTGCTTTTGCTTGAATTTCATGTTCCCGTAGTGCATTACTGCCCCTGTGAGCTTATAGATGGACACTTTCTCTTCAGGAGTAAAGCCCAGGATGTCAATGGCACTCTGCCAGGAGAAATGAGAGGATAAAGATGAGGGCAGAAGAGATTAACATTTAGGAGAGTTTATACTGTATCCTAAAGTAACTATAGCTACAGTGAGTTTGCTATTGTTATCCCCATTCATAATAGGTTTTTTAAAAAGTGTGTGTTTGTGTGTGTGTGTGTGTGTGTGTGTGTGTGAGAGAGAGAGAGAGAGAGAGAGAGAGAGAGAGAGAGAGAGAGAGAGAGAGAGAGACTGACTTACATCTGTGGCCATCAGCTCTTCTTGGTCATCAATGCTGGGGACTGTGATCTCCCCTTGACTGACAAAGGCATAGTCATATGGGTTCGTGGTGATCAGGAGCATTTCTGGGCACATAGAATTCAGGAGATACATTTCATATTATAAGTTGTTAATAAAAAATATTAAATTTCATCTATGAATTTATTATCTTTCTTACCAATCAGATCTGGCTTCTTATTGGAAGTAATCTGATAAAAAATATGGTAACTTCTTTCTGCCTTTAGCTGGAAAGTAACTCTGGACTTTTCTAGAAGATCTGGAAAGAAATGACATTAGACATCGAATTAGAAGGAAATATAAATGCTGCTGAGATAGTAAATTAATCTCAGTGTCTTTGTACAATTGGGGACATTATACAGGCTCTCTTGAGATTTCTGTTTGGTGATCGATCCTTTTGGTGATACATATATGAATTTCAAATACATATGGGAGCTGCCCAAGGTTCTTACCATTTAAGAGCAGAGACTGAAGCATAGCTGCTCTAGCAAAAATAAACTTTCCCTCTGGGGATCTGTGGCCTCTGTATTATAATTGATCCTTAGCATCCCTTCCTTAGATCGCCTCAGACTCTGTGGTCAGGGGCTTCCGTGGAAACACCGAAGCTCAAATCAAGAGAAAATCACAGAGATATATTGTAAACCTATAGGTCACTTTTAAGAACCTATAAATAGCTCTAATGTTTGTCCTGGAAAAAAATTTCATAGTTGCTTCTGAGGCAGCAATTCCAGAATGTGCTATAGAACCATCAGTCTGAGATTGAGGTAAATGGAGCACACAGTGGATCATGAATAAGCCTGGCATTGGCTCAAGGGCAACACTGGCAGCAGTCTCAGTGCGTACCAACTGTTGCAAAATATCCCTGTTAATGAAATCACTCATCTCTCTCTTTTGATTTTCAATGGTCCTGTTACTCACATGTTTCAATATCAGCAGAAGCCAGCTTTCCTGTAGTACCGAAGTGGATTCTAATGAATTTACCCTTGAAAAGAGAAAGATGATTTAGTATTAAAAAGTTGAAGCACACAGTGATGCAGTTGAAATGATAATTCAGATGGCTACTCTGGCGCTTAAAGGCAGAGAAGACCCCTCTGTGACCAAGACACTTACAAAGCGAGAAGAGTTGTCATTCCTCACGGTCTTGGCATTGCCAAAGGCCTCCAGCAGGGGGTTGGCACTGATGATTTGATCTTCCAGTGTCCCCTGCAAAGGCAAGCGCAGTGCTCACATCTGAGGCTCCCCACTTCCTGAGCGCCCCGACAGTCTTGATTCTGACTGTGGTATTGGACTCACCTTCATTTTGCCAGAAGTAGCTTCCTCCTTCTTCTTCTCCCCAGTAACTGCAATTGTTGCAAAGTACTGGATGACACGCTTGGTGTTCACAGTCTTCCCTGCACCAGATTCTCCGCTGTCAAATAGAGACCAGAGAAGAGATGAGAACTATGGCTCACATTGTTAACATCTAAGATAATCACCATAAACCAGAGAGGATTAAAAATATCACATACGTGATCAGGATGGACTGGTTCTCTCGATCTGTGAAAGAGAAATCAAGACCAATCAATATGAATATTTTTTGAATCAGTTCAAATCAAATACAGCTTGTCTTTTTTCTTATTTTGAAGGTGTTGCCTATAATTTTTGTGTTTTGTTTAGCCTCCATTATAGTGCTTGCCTCTTGGAGTAAAATTTGTGAAAAAGAGAGGCAAATAATCATCTATTTCTTTTCGTATTTTATTAATTTTTATAACTTACATTATGGGAAGTTTCAAACATATACAAAGCTAGAGACAATAAAGAATCTCTATATACCCATTATATAGCTTCAACAATTATTATCTTTTGGTGATTTTATTTAAAATACGTTTTTATTGATTTCAAAGAGAAAGGGAGAGGAAGTGATAGAAACATCTATGATGAGAAAGAATCAGTGATCAGCTGCCTCCTGCATGCCTCCTACTGGGGATAGAACTGACCTCCTGGTTTATGGGTTGATGTTCAACCACTGAGCCACACTGGCCAGACATTTGGTCAATTTTATATAATCCATACCCCTTCCCCCCGAACCATATCTCAATAGATTGTTTTAGAGAAAACCCCAGGCATCATATAATTTCATGTGTAAATACTCCAGTAAGAATCATAGAATTTTGAAGTTTAACAGATAAAGAAGCTGAGACCCATAATGGAATAAGTGACTTTTTAAATAAATACATAGTTTGTTAAGGACAAAGATATTCAGGCTTTTTAACTTCTAGTTTATATATTTTTCTGCTACCTGTCCCCCTCTCAGTTCTTGATAATCATTACTTTGACTGCTATTAATATTAAATAAGGAAGCGTTCTGGAATTGTATTTGCGTTCATTTACCTTTTTTTGAAAGCATTGTTTTAGAGATTCACTTCACTTTTATTACAAATAAGCACAATCTCAAATCAGTACAGATAGTTTAAGAGCTGATATTAGTAGAAATTATTCCACAATTATTCTCAGGTCACTAATAACTAGTTATCTCACATAAAAGGGGGAAAAAGTCCCCCTTTACCCCCAATCTAGGAAAAGATATCCTGTGTATGCTTTCATATGAGTTTATGCATTCCCAAATTTTGTCTGGCTAGTTATCCATCACTTATCTAATGGATTCATTCAGTCTCTTGGAGAGAAGGATATAGACCAGGGGTGGGCAAACTTTTTGACTCGAGGGCCACAACGGGTTCTTAAACTGGACCGGAGGGCCGGAACAAAAGCATGGATGGAGTGTTTGTGTGAACTAATATAAATTCAAAGTAAACATCATTACATAAAAGGGTACGGTCTTTTTTTTTTTTAGTTTTATTCATTTCAAACGGGCCGGATCTGGCCCGTGGGCCGTAGTTTGCCCACGGCTGATATAGACTAATGATAGTATCTGGGACATATGGGCATATCAAGTTTATGGCAGATGCTGTTACTATAAAAATCCTCAGGATTTAAGAGAATTCCTCTGCTGAAGGATTCCAAAATGCTTTATAAAAACCATTATCATTTACTTTTATTCTTTTTATTTCATATTCATTTTTAAATATTAAAAACAAAAATTGTCACTAGTTATATGATTGATAAGTTGATTTATACCAATCTTATGATATGTGAAAACTCTAATTTTATACCGATAGATCATAGATTTTAGAGAATTCTCAAATCTAAAAATCTATTCAGAGAAATGGATACAAATATGTATATTGTTTAGATGTAGATACAGATTTTAGAGAACTTTAAAGTTCAGTCCAGGGAAGTATATACAGATCTTGGAACATTTTCAGATTGATTTTTCTTTTCAGTAGAAGAAAAATAATGAAAGATCATTATTACACCCAGTGGGAGCCTAGATCAGAAAACAATGTTCTAGTCTCTTGGCAATGCTAAAATAACATCACCAGGTCCAACGCCACAGTTTTGCATGATTTTATACATAAATCATGTTTGGAAACCACAAGTAATCTTGAATTTGGAGCAGTTCCAAAGCTTGGGGGGACCTTGGTAGCATGGGTGGCAGTGGTAGTGAAGCTGCTGAGTATTAGAAGTCTGAAATAAGCCAGCATGTGCATGAATTCTGAAAGGCAGTTCGCTTCTGTGAACAACCACAGAACAGTTTACTGGCATGAAATCCTTATAGAACTGCTGGCCAGTTAGTAAGGGAAGATACCCATTTAATTCCTTTCTCTTCTCTCCTCTTCTCCTTAAAAGGACAATTTAAAAACAAGTGCAACCAAACAAACACAACAGAATAGAACAAAACCCTCGCAGTTACTCAAATCCCATGGACCAACAGGAAATGCAGGAATCTAGAACATTTCCAAAGGCAATAAATTTGCTGTGTGAAGATAAAAGATTTTAATGCTGTATTTGGGCCTATAATGCATATCAAAGGTTTTTGTTTATACTTCGATAAGACAGGAATAACCAATTTTGAAATCATTTTTTAAAAACATTTTCAAAGAAAGAGCGGTTTTAATTGTTTTATTCTAATAGGAAAATGCATCAAGATTTTTGGGAAGATAGTGATAGCTCTGTTTTTCACCTTTTTTTACCCGTAAGGCTGGCAATATTAGCTGTGCAGTTTAAAGATAAAGATAAGAATTCACAAAGCGTTCCAGCTATGGCTGCTATTTTCCTTGATCGCTCTGGATGTGGATACTTAAAAAGAATCTATTGGAACATTTTTTCTATCCAAATCAGAAAGTAAAAAAATATGGGAAAGCAAACATGTTTACAGAGTTCCGTTAATTGTTTCAACTAGGCTTCCAGTGTCTGGCTGGCTGAGCTTGGGCAGATCAGTGAACCCAGTGAGCTTCCTTCCCTTCATTCATCTGTAAAGTGGAGATGGCTGGCTGCTGAACATTATGTCATTATGGCTCGGAACGTTCTTTGAAAACAGTGATGCCCCTTGTGGCTGCAGTGTGCTATTATCATCAAGGCCCAGAAAAATCTGTTCGTTTGTTTGTTTAAAATTCTGTTGCCACATTTCTGTAAACAGATTAATCACCCACTCACCAGTCAGCATGAACTGATAGGCGTTGTCAGAGATGGAGAAGATGTGGGGCGGGGCCTCCTGGCGCTTTTTGCCTCGGTAGGCAGCCACCACCTCGGGGTTATACACCGGCAGCCACTTGTAAGGGTTGACAGTGACACAGAAGAGGCCTGAGTAGGTCTGAGAAAAGCAGAATTTTTAAAAAATTCTATGCAGCATGTGGGTCATGTTTTTTCTCGCAGAGATAAACAATAAACAGATGAGGAAGGGCGCTCACATAGATCATCCAGGCTGCATAGCGCTCTTTGAGGTTGTACAGCACTCCGGGCTCATGCAGGTGGGTCATCATGGCCATGTCCTCGATCTTGTCGTATTTCGGAGGGTTCATAGGGAAGACTTGGTCTTCCCTGACAGTTAGAGTCTGGCAAGTAAAGTAAGAGACCAGTTTGTATTAATGATTGGAGGTAGGGTTTGCGTTTATCTGTTTTGGTTATAACCTACACTTGCAGACACTGCAAGTCTGAAATGAAAAGATACTCGCTTCAGAGTTTGATGCTAAGAAAATTTGTTCCCTATGATGAACTTTTAAAAAAGATTTTTCCCTTCCACATTCCCCCTCCCAGGTTACCAGGTTATGTCCTTTCACTCTTATTCTAATAGGCTGCATTTTTTTAAATTTTTCCTTGCCATTCATTACAAGTAATTTCTATGGGGGGGGGGCAGTAATGGAAATATTAATACATTATTTAACTTAGTAAACAATACTTCGTTTGCTAGGAGAAGTTAGTTTTTATTCTTCCAAATGTGGGGGTTGGGGAATTGAAGGGAAATGCTAGAGGTCCATACTAGTGGGTTCAAGTTGTGTGGGGAGTTGGGAAGGCAGGAAATGAGGTTACTGCTGAGAATTTATTTTGCTTTCAAATATGATGTTCTCAAATGAACTACAAGGATGCTTGTATTGGCCATAGGCTTAGAGATTCCTACCCAGTAAGGCTTCAACTCGAACGGAAGAGATAGAGAAATAAAACAGAAGTTTTTCTCCAGGTTTTTACTTACTGCTCCACTTTCTGTCTTTACAGTTACTTTTCCTCCATCCTTGCTTTGTATGACGCTCTTCACATAGGCTTCCTTGGGCTCCACGACAAAGACTGATGTTTTAGCATCAAAGGGCTTGTTTTGGGCCGCAATCCGCTCCTTTTCTGATTTCCGAAGGTAGGGAGCGGCTTCACCAAAAACAGCCATCTCAGCGTCCGAACTCATGGCTGCGATTTATTTAGCAGGGGATTCTGCCCTGGGAAGAAATGGGACAGCAGGAAAGTAGGAACCAGAAGGCATAAAATGTGAGTTAGGATTTGAAATGAAAGAAATGCTGAGCCTCTATTGCCTAGGCTGTAACTATTCTTTCAAACTGTGGTTATCAGTGTTCTAACACAGAAACTCTAACACAGGACTGGTGTGGAATGAGATTGTCATTTGAGTCTTCATTTTTAAGACTTTGAAAATTGCCTTCCCAGAGTGTATGTAACTTGATCCTTGGGGATTGGGTACCTACAATTGAGTGAGAACGGAAACCTTGCATCATTTTAATCTCTAAACTGGAACAATATCTATAGCTAAAACTGTTGGTAGATTGTTTTAAAACAACTGTCACTTTTTAATTCTTTTTTTCCCCCCTCCATGCTTTCATCTGCCATATGCTAGGGAAATCATAGAATTCGGAAGGAAAGTTTGTCTTGTGAAATGAAGATTAATGTGTTCAAAACTGTCAAAAACATCCTTCCCTTTATAGTTGGCCGTTTTTAAAAAACTCATAAGGCAAATAATTATTTTTAACACCTACTTTAGGTTAATATTTGGGGTTATATCTCTCAGTGGGTTGTTAAAAGAACCTCATAATAAATTCTCAGTATTCTGGGTTTGTTGTCATTTGGTTTGTTACCAAGAGACTTAGCATTGCCTTAACTCCAAAGTCTCTTTGACACTCTTTTGGCATGAGAGATTTCAATTGTTAGAAATGAGAGATTCAGCATGAAGAAGGCCCCTTCTTTCCATATAAATTCCACAGCTTCTTTTTTTTTTCCATCCAGAAAAACAAAAGAGACAAAAATTAACAGTTCACCCCGTGCATGTAACCCATTGTCCTGTGATTGAGAGACAGGCCCGGCAACATTGGTATGTTAGATTGATCGAATCTTCCTTTACTTTCAGGTGTACATTACCTGAGGAAGGGCCTGGAGCTCTTCCAATTTAGGTACTGTATTTAGCACTCTGTGGGTGTAATACTTGTGACTTTTTAATGACCATTAATAAATCTTTCTAAAAACCAATAGCAGTGAATTATTAGAAAGTAGCTGAAATATTATGGTTTTAACAAGATGTTTGTTAAATTGTTAGGTAAAATTTTTCTGGGTGCCTAAAAAATCTTGGTAAAATGTTTAATTGTTCAACACTTTGCAGTACAGAGATTGGCATGGAACAGACCATTGCCCCTAGACAGATATAAGTGCAGCTGAGAATTCACTGTCACAATTCATTCTGGCCTAAATGTCCTTTAATCCTGGAACTCAAATGAAGGTAGTCTCTGAGAATAAGATGTTCTGAAAATATGACTTGCTAGCATTTATATGCAGCCACTCACTTGGAAGCACTATCTAACATAATTGCAAAAATGTAGAAATGTGTTTAATTAAGAGCCATTCTCATCTTCATTAGAATAACTTCCCTATGTCATCAATAAATGAATAAAGCTGAGTCTTACCTCTGGAGTTCCAGATAAAAATGCAGGTTCAGAAGTGTCTAACACTGTAAAACAACAATTTTTAAAAAAATTTTCTAAGCTCTGAAATGCTAGTAAAGTAGTTCCAGAATTAAAATTTCCCTGGTCTAAAGCTTAGCTCTATGAAAATAAAAGTCAAAGTTGGGAGGAAGAGTTTCATGCTCAGAGATGGATCATGTGGCAGGCTCCTTGTACCCCCCGGGATCCTTCAAGCCCCAAGACCCCCATCACTTACCTCTGGGTCTTGGAGATAAAGCAGCGGGATCTGTTGTGCTTATATAGGAACTAATGTGCTGATGCTGCAGCTATCTTCTCTTTGTTAGGGCAAGACATTTGGCAGCATGAACCCTCAGCATAATTTGTACTGACATTTGGCATGTTTGGATATAATTAGAAGTATTCATATCGTTTTGAGTATGCGAACCAATCTCCTATAAATAATTTTACAGGGGCCTCTCTGCCGGCAAAGAAGACTTTCTAGTATGCTGGGAAGGTAATCTTCGACAGTGCCTGGTGGGGCCTCAAAGTAAGTTCCTAAGAGCTATATTCGTTTTGGCAAATTCTTCCATGCATGCCTGCGGTAACTCAATGATCAGAGACTCAGCGACAATTGCTGTCCAGGCCCCAACCACTTTTCCTTATTTGCTACCACAGGAACCCCCCCAACTCATTCCCTTGGGTCACTGCCCAGGCTCATCCTTGGAGTCTCAACTTGGGCAGCAGAGCCCGTGTGAGAGGAAATTCTACATTGAGTTTTCACCATTGGGTCAGTGCCTACCTGCTCAACATGGAAAAAAATTATTATTTCATTAGAAAATAATATTTATTCAGTGTAGAAAAAATAAGCAAGGAGAAAAATGTCTATAATGCCAATATGCAATAATAAAATAATACATAGACATATAAATAGGGTCAAACAGTACACATATATATAGAATATATAGGTCTTATCTGCTTTTAAAATTAATATAACACTAATGTAATTTATACCGTATTCTTTAAACAAATTATAACATAATTTTTTAAAATTAAAATCTTTTTTATTGACTTTATTGGTGTTACATTGGTCAATAAAATTATATAGGTTTCCAGTGTTCGATTCTGCAATACATAATTTGCATATTGCATTGTGTACTCACAATCCAAAATCTAGTCTCCTTCTGTCACCATTTATCCATCATTTATGCTCTTTGACCTGCCCGCAACCCCCTTCCCTCTGGTAATCTCCATACTGTTGTTTTTGTCCATGGGTTGTTGTGTTTCGTGTGTGTGTGTGTTTTTGCTTACTCCCTTCACCTATTTCATCCAGCCACGCAGCCCAACAAACCTCTTGACAACTGTCAGACTATTCTCTGTATCTTATGAGTCTGTTTCTATTTAGTTTGTATATTGTGTTCATTAGATTCCACATATAAGTGAAATCATATGGTACTATTTTTTTCTCTGACTGGCTTATTTCACTTGGCATAATACCCTTTAGATACATCCAGGCTGTGGCGAAAGGTAAGATTTCCTTCGTTTTTGCTGGTTGCTTTTTTTTTGTTTTTGTTTTCTGTTTTGTTTTTTACAGCTGGGTAGTATTCCAATGTGTAAATGTACCACAGCTCATGTACTGATGGGCACTTGGGCTGCTTCCAAATTTTGGCTATTGTAAATAACACTGCAATGCACATAGGGGTACATATATTCTTTCAAGTTAGTGTTTGGGGTTTCTTTGGATATAGTCCCAGAAGTGGAATCGCTGAGGCATAACGTGGTTCAATTTTTAATTTTTTTAGGAAATGCCATACTCTTTTCCACAGTGGCTGCACCAACCTGCATCCCAACCAACAGTACACAAGGGGTTTCTTTCCTCTACATCCTCGCCAACACTTATCATTTGTGGGTTCATTATTATTATTTTTAATCCTCATCCAAGGATATGTTTTTTATTGATTTTAGAGAGAGAGGGAAGGTGGCAGGGAGAGAGAGAGAAATCGATGTGAGAGTGAAACATTGTCAGGGATCAAACCCGCAACCTGGTTGTGTGCCCTGAGCAGGAATCAAAGCCGCAACCTTTAGGAGTATGGGATGATGCTCCAAACCACTGACTCACACCAGCCAGGGCCATTTGTGGATTTCTTGATGATAACCTTTCTAACAGGTGTGAGGTGATCTCTCATTGTGGTTTTAATCTGCATTTCTCTGATAATTAGTAACATTGAGCATCTTTTCGTATGTCTATTGGCCATCTGTATGTCCTCTTTGGAGAAGTGTATATTCGAGTTCTTTGCCCATTTTTTAATTGGATTGTTTGTTTTTTTTGTTTGTTTGTTTTGAGTTGTTTGAGCTTTTATAAAGTTTGGATATCAACCCCTGATCATATGTATCATTGGCAAATATGTTCTCCCATTCAGTGGTTTGTCTTTTCATTTTGTTGATGGTTTCCTTTGCTGTGCAAAAAGTTGTTAATCTGATATAGTCCCATTTGTTCACTTTTTCTTTTGTTTTCCTTGCCCAAGGAGATATATCAGAAAAAATAATTGCTATAATAAATAGAGCAATATCCTCCCTTTCTCTTTGAAATCAAAAACAAACAAACACATACGTCTTTATTGATATTTAAAGAGAGAGGAAGGAAGAAGGATAGAGAGATAGAAACATAGATCAGATCAGCTGCCTCCCTGCATGACCCCTACTGGGTATTGAGCCCACAACCCGGGGCATGTGCCCTGGCTGGTGCGGGTCAGTTGATTGGAGCATCATTCCATACACCTAAAGGTTGCGGGTTTGATTCCCGGTCAGGGCATATACCCAGGTTGCAGGTTCGATTCCTGATTGGGGCACATGCTGGAGGCAACCAATAGATGTTTCTCTCTCACATTGATTTCTCTCTCCCCTCCCCTTCTATTCCCCTTCCTCCCCCCGTCCTCTCTCTCTAAAATCAATAAAAAACATATCCTTGAGTGAGGATTAAAAAATAATAATAATAGCCCTAGCTGGTTTGGCTCAGTGGATAGAGAGTCAGACTGTGGACTGAAGGGCACTGGATTCAGTTCCATTCAAGGGCACATGCCTGAGTTGTGGACTTGATCTCCAGTGTGGGGTGTGCAGGAGGCAGCCAATCAATGATTCTCTTTCATCATTGATGTCTCTATCTTTCTCTCCCTTTCTCTTTGAAATCAATAAAAATACATTAAAATAATAACAATAATAATAATAATAATGAATCTACAAATGATAAGTGTTGGCGAGGATGTGGAGAAAAGGAAACCCTTGTGCACTGTTGGTGGGAATGCAGATTGGTGCAGCCACTGTGGAAAACAGTATGGCATTTCCTAAAAAAAATAAAAAATTGAAACCACCTTATGGCCCAACGATTCCTGGTTCATGGGTTGATTCTCAACCACTGAGCTGCACCAGACAGTCTGTTCTATAATTTCAAACTAATGTTTTTAAAGAAAATACTGATATTTGTAATCTAGATCAGTGTGTGTATGTTAGAGAGAGAGAGAGAGAGAGAGAGAGAGAGAGAGAGAGAATGTAATCTGTTTTTGGATTCCATATTTTGTATCATTTTTGGGGGCCAATAGCACATATTTTGAGATCTGATCGGGCAGGGCAGATTTCCCCCAATTATTCATTTATTTCAAAGTTGCCTTGACAATTCTTACACTCTACAGTATGAAATTTGGCATCAGATTATGTGGAAAATCCTGTTGGGATTTTGATTTTGATTAAATTGAATTAATTAAATGGAGTTGATACTTTTACAATAGTGAGTCTTTCAGTCCACAAGTATGATATATTTTTTCTATTTATTCCAAGTCTTTTTAAAAGATATTCTTACAACATTTTTTTAGTTTTTAAAATTTATTAAATTTATGGGTGTAACATTGGTTAGTAACATTTTGTAAATTCAGGAGTACAACTGATAGCAAGACATCTGTATATTCTATTGTGTGCACACCACTTGAAGTGAAGTCTCCTTCCGTCACCTCATATGGTGTTTCACATAGTTCACCCTCTTCCTCTTCCCTGCACCTTCCTTTTCTGCTAACCACTATTCTGGTGTCTGCATCTATGAGGTTTTTTTGTTTGTTTGCTATTTTGATCCCACATATAAGTGAAATCATATTGCTCTTGTCCTTTTTGGTCTGACTTATTTCACTTAGCATTTCTTAAGATCCTAGTGTGGTTTTTTTCATGAATGTCTTCTATATTTCTAATTAGGTTTATTACTAAGAATTTGTAGGGTTTTTTTGTGTGGCTATGGTTAACGGGATTATTTTCCTATATACTTCCTACTTGTTGTTACTGGCATGTGGCAGATGAGTTCATGTACTCAGAACCTCCCTCTTGTTTGTGGCAGCAGTATGCCTACTAAACTTCATTTCCCAGACTTCTTTGCATCGAATACCCATGTGATACTTTTTTGGCTAATGAAATGCAAGCAGGTAGGGCTTGCAGAGAAGCTCTTTTATAAAAGAGAGCAGACTCCTCTGGTACTGCCTTTCCCTTTCCTTCATCCTTTTTTTGTGTGTAGAAAACAGATGTAATGGCTGGAGCTATAGCCTTGAAACAAAGATCAAGAGAATATCAGACCTTAGCTTTGATATTCATGAGAAGAATTTTGTTATGTGAAGAAAAATAAACCACTAATATTTATAAGGCACTGTTTACTCAGATTTTTGGTTATATATAAACACAGTCTGTAACAGATTAGTGGTGTTGCTGAAGTTTATTGATTTTTCTATTATCTTTTATCTGGTCCACTTGATGAATTTCCTTATCACTTCTAATAATTTATTTGATTCTCTTGGAGTTTTGATGTATTATGCACAAATAATCACAAATCTGTATCTTCTTTTTTTATAATTTAGACATTAGTTTTCATTCTCTTATTGCATTGTCTAACACATTTAGGACAATGTTGAATAGTATTAATATATTATTGACACCGGGATACTTCTATATATATTCTATACAAGATAAGTGATTCTTATCTTGTTCCTGACATTAATTGGACTGCATCTAATATTTTATCAAGTATTATATTTGCTATATACTTTATACCTAGTTTGCCAAAATTTTTAAAATCCTTACCTGAGGATATGTTTATTGATGTGAGAAAGCAACATTCGATGGGTTGCCTCCCATATACACCCTGATCGAGGATAGAACCCCAACCTAGGTATGTGCCCTGACTGAAAATAAAACCCACAACAAAATGTTTTTGGTGTATAGGATGATGCTCCAACCTACTGAGCTACCTTGGCTGGACTAGTTTGCCAATAATTTTGATCATAAAAATGAATTAAACTGGCTGAAACCGGTTTGGCTCAGTGGATAGAGCGTCGGCCTGCGGACTGAAAGGTCCCAGGTTCGATTCCGGTCAAGGGCATGTACCTGGGTTGCGGGCACATCCCCGGTGGGAGATGTGCAGGAGGCAGCTGATCGATGTTTCTCTCTCATCGATGTTTCTAACTTTCTATCTCTCTCCCTTCCTCTCTGTGAAAAATCAATAAAATATATTTTAAAAAAAAATGAATTAAACTGTTTCATTCCTAGAATATGCCCAATAAAATTGAAAGATGTTTATAGAAGCATTTTGCATAATAACCAAAAAGTAGAAACAACCCAAATGTCTATCAACTGACAAATGGATAAAGAAAATGTGATATATTCATACAATGAAATATTATTCAGGCATAAAAAGGAATGAAGTACTAATGCATGATGCAGCATGGATTAGCCTTTAAAACACTATGCTAGCTCAGCTGGTATGGTTCAGTAGTTGAGTGTTGACCCATGAACCAAGAGGTCACTGGTTTGATTCCCAGTCAGGGCACATGCCTGGGTTGTGGGCTCAGTCCCCAGTAGGGGGTGTGCAAGAGGCAGCTGATTGATGTTTCTCCCTCATCAATGTTTCTATCTCTTTATCCCTCTCCCTTCCTTATCAATGTGAAATTATTCTAAAAATAAAATAAAAAATAAAACACTATGCTAAGTGAAAGAAGCCAGATTAATGTGGCCATATTTGATTATTTCATTTATATAAAATGTTAAGAATGGAAAAATTTATCGAGACATAAAGTAGACTAGTGGTAGTCAGAGGACGGGACAAGGGGAGAATGGATAGTGACTGCTAATGAGTTTCTTTTTGAGGTGATGTAATGTTCTGGAATTAGATAGTGGTTATGATTCCACAACTTTGAATCTACTAAAACCACTGAATTGTACATTTAAATAGTGAATTTTATGGTATATGAATTATATAATGTGAATTTTGTGGTAGGTTTTCTCAATTTTACTGTTCTGGAGTTCATGAAATAAAACCTATTGATATAATATTGTTTAATTTCCTATTGCTTTAAGTTTACAATTTTTATGTGGAACTTCTGCGTCTGAATTCATATGTGACTAGGCCATAGTTTTCTTTCCTTCTGCTATCCTTTTCTGGTTTTGATACCAGGATCGTATTCCTCTTGTAAAACAAGTCGCTTCCCATCCCATTTGTTTCTATTTTCTGCAGCAGTGCGTTTAGGATGTGAATAATCTGTTCCATGACAGTCTGCTAGAGTTTCTCCACGAACTTGTTGGGCTCTGGCCTCTTTGGAGGATAAACATTTTACTATTATTTACTTTTTTCATGACCATTGATTAGTCTGTTCTGTGTGTGTGTGTGTGTGTGTGTGTGTGTGTGTGTCCCATTTGTAAATTTTGTATTTTCCTAGAAAACTACCTATTTCATGTACGATTTTAGATTTTTGACATTTTTATGTGTACCTTTTATAATTAAAAACTCCTGTGTAGTTATCTCTTCCTCTTTATTCTTTTTTTTTAAATATATTTTATTGATTTTTTACAGAGAGGAAGGGAGAGAGATAGAGAGTTAGAAACATCGATGAGAGAGAAACATCGATCAGCTGCCTCCTGCACATCCCCCGCTGGGGATGTACCCACAACCCAGGTACATGCCCTTGACCGGAATCGAACCTGGGACCTTTCAGTCCGCAGGCCGACGCTCTATTCACTGAGCCAAACCGGTTTCGGCAGCCTCTTTATTCTTTATACAATTTAATTTTATTGTATTCTGCTTTTAATCTTATTCATTCCTTTCTCTTATTTATTTAGTTTTTTTCATATGCAAATGATGTTTTATTGAGTTTTACTTGAAACCTATATGGTTTTATTAAACAGTGTCACCCCAATAAATTCAATAAAAATGAAAACAATATAGAATCTTATTTTATGTAGTATATACATTTACATGCTTCAAATTTCTAGAAGCACAGAGCATACAGTGAAACCTTTCTCACATTTCTTTCCCCCAACTATTTAGTTTTTCTCCCCATAGTCAACAACAGTTCCTAGAGTATTGTATGCCCTTTAAGAGGTATTCTAAATGTTCGTTTCCCAACATGGCTCAAATTTTTGTGATTGTTTTAGATCATTTTTTTTGCTATGTTTTATTTTTTTTCATTACTGTCCTCCGAGGAGAAAAAAGTTACTTAAATTAAATTCATTAGTTAAGTTTAATTTCTCCCTAAGAAATGAAATACTAAGAAATAAGATTTTAATTAAATAAATTTTAACTTAATTTAATTTCTTCCTAACAAGAAGAGCAATAAGATATTTTTAAAGGTGGAGTTGAGTTTGGAGGGAAGTAAAAAACTATGACAATATCTAAGATTTTTTTGCACCCCTCAGACCTAATTTTCACTTATCAAAGAGTGATATCACCTTCACTGAAAATGCATATGTTAGATATTTGAAAAGCATTTATATTTCTCATTGTTGACTATAAAATTTCATATTTATCTTTATGATTGAGCTTGTTATTTATGTTATCCATCTATGTTTTTAGCTTTTCCTACCTGATCTCTTATTTTTCTAGTAGATATTGGTTAAAATCCTCTATCATGATGGTTCTTAGCTCTTTCAGATTTTGTTTATATAATTCAAAGATGGTTGCTAACTCCACAGAAATTTGTGATCATTATATCTTTCTGGTAGATTATATCTTAAAAAAATAAATATGAATTATCTCTGCCACTTTTTGTATTATTTGGCCTGGAATTCTATTTTTGCTATATTTGCTTTTATTTTTTGGTAGCATATATGTGGTTTATCTTTTCCCATTCCTTTATTTTCACCCTTTTTAAGTAATTTTATCTTACATCAAACTTTTAAAATGCAAGTAGCTACTTTAAAAATCCATTATGAGCCCAGCCAGTGTTTCTCAGTGGTTGAGCGTCAACCTATGAACCAGGAGGTCATGGTTCGATTGCCGGTCAGGGTACATGCCCGGGGTTGTGGGCTCAATCCCCACTGTGGGGTGTGCAGGTGGCAGCTGATTAAAGAGTCTCTCTCATCATTGATGTTCCTCTCTCCCCTCTTCCTTCCTCTATGAAATCATGTAAATCAAATATATATATACCCATATATATAAATCAAGTGTGTGTGTGTGTGTGTGTGTGTGTGTGTGTGTGTGTGTGTGTATCCATTATAAGATCCTCTTTTGGTAGGTATGCTTGAGAAGCAGCAAACTAGCTGGAATTGTTTTTATGGTGTGCACCATGTTTTAAATATCAGTGTGACTAGCCAGATGTTATTTTGTATGATTTTAGGCAAGTCACCTAACCTCTGTAAGCCTCAGTTCTTTTGTTAAAGGAAAATAATAATTTTTTGCCACCTCACAGAATTAATGTATTCAATGAGAAATATATATAAAGCATTTAGCACAGTTATCTGGCAATGTAGAAAGTATTTGTTAAATATTGGCTATTACCACTCTATTTAAAATCATGTAAGAAGTAGACCTTTGTCACTGTGAGTCATGGGATATCACTGGAGTCTTTTAAACAAGGAACTGATATCATAAGATCTGCGTTTTAGACACAACTGTGGTAGCAGCGTGGAAGATGAATTGGAGGAGTGAGACAGAGATAAAGAACCTACTTAAGCAGTTGTTGTACTATTTTAGGAAAGAGTTGAAGACCTGAACTATGCCAGCAGCTCTTGGAAAAGAAAAGAGAGGCATGAAATCAAGAGGTATTTATGTTGTAGACTTGGCTGTGCTTGCTGCTGGTGAAATAGAAATAATTTTGGAAGTTCAAGAATCATTTAAATTTATTTACTCCAAGAAAGAAAAAAATAAACTGAATCTTTTGAGGTTGGGGGTAATTTTTCATGGAAAGGGAACAGACTTAAAAGTAGTAGCTTAGAAACACAACTTGATTGGGAATTGCAACATTAGAATTTGTAGTAAAAGAACACAAGTTTAAAGGAATAATAAGCTTTTATCAGACTTTGAAATAACAAGCAACCCTATTTGGCATCAAGCATATTTTAGAAATATGGTAATTAAAACAGTGTAAAATTAGAGCTGGCGAAGACAAGTAAATCAAAATGGGTTCTTGCAGGGATGGCAGTTTAGTGTATTATAAAGGCTTCAAATTACTAGGGGGAAAGGAAGGTTGAGACTTATCATTTAAAAAATATTAAATTAGGTTCTTGCCTGACACCATTTGTAAACATAAGTTCTAGATGAATTAAAGTCTTAAGCATTAAGACAAAGCAAATTCTTAAATCAAGAAGGAAGGGAGATACATGTAAATAGAAAAAATAGCCAAAAGACAATTGGTAGAAGTGACAATATAAATGGGCAATAAATTTGAAAACATAATTTCAGGAGGTCAAGATCAAATAACAACTAGTATATTTAACACATCAGGTTGACAAAAAAAAAAAAATTGATAGTAGCAAACGGTGGTGTGGGAGAGTGGATGCTCTCATATGCTATAGATAAGGGTGTAAATTCCAGGTCAATGTATTGCATCTTTTGAAATTTAAAATTTCAGTAATTTCCCTTCTTGCTGTCTTTCCTACAGAAGCACAGAAGAACAAGAAGGTATGCCAAGGCTGTGCATTTAGCACATCTCCTAATAGCAAAACTTTGGAAACAACTTAAATGTCCATTCAGTTACTTTATCTGTATTAAGTGGCCACCTGTTAAGTGGTGGTGATCTGATTATAGGGTCAGTGGTTGAAACCTGACACTTACTTTAATCTGAGGCTTGGATCAACATAATGCATTTTCCACTTGTTTTCTTTAAGGTAGAACCTTGTAAATGAAAAAACTTACTTAAAATAACAATAAACAATGAAGTACAGAGTTTTAGTGGACAATATATATAAGAAAACTAAATGTTGAGGTATATTTTGCTAACGCATATTGGTATATTCCAACCCTTTTCCAGTGTGCAGATATCTTTTACACAATTCTTGAGTGACAACTCATTTCTTTTATCTTAGAGTAAAGCTTTTCCAAGGTCTGGCTTATATCCCTTGTCCATGCTCTTCTTACTAGTGTCTGCTTACAATTAAGCCCAGGGACAGCATTAAGTTACTGTTTCTAATGATCCTTTTGCTCTGTGAACCCTTGCCAAAAATTAGCTTACAATTCTTAAGATTCCCTCTGCCCTACAATTTCTCTATTTTATCTCTCCAGTGAGGAAAAGCAGAGGAATAACAGCCACTTAGGGCATCCCTACTTTTTCTAATATGAAACTCTAATTATCTCATCCTCAGACAAAGGGAACAACTTGCCTTTCATAAGATGCCAAAGAGGAATGTTGTTTAGATTCATCTAGGTTATTGCACATAGTTCATTTCTTCTTATTATTGGTGAGTAGTATTCCATTGTGAGGATATACCATATTGTGTTCATCTATTCTTTTGCTGATGGATATTCTTCATTTTGTGGACATACCTTTCATTTCTTTTGGTTAAATACCAAAGGAGTAGAATTGCTATATCAAAAGTTATATAGTTGCGTATTTAATTTATAAGGAATGGTCAAACAATTTAAAAATAAGAGTTGCAGTATATGAGAGATGTTGCTGGGGGGTTGCCCAGCATCCTTGCCAACATTTGTAATTGTCACCCTTTATGATTTTGGCCATTTTTACAGATGTGTACTGGAATCTCTTGGTTTTAATCTGTATCCTCTATACCAGTGATATTGAGCATCTTTTAATCTGGTTATTGGACCTTCACATATCTTCTTTGTGAAAGTTTCTGTCAAAGTCTTTTGTTCCTTTATACTGGATTATTTTCTTTTTCTTAATGTTTTGTACATGTTTTTCATATACAGTAAAGACATTTGTTGCATATATGCATTGCATGTATTTTCTCCCAGCCTGTGGTTTGCCTTTTTATGTTTTTTTTTATTTTGTTAATCCTCACCCGAGGATATTTTTTCATTGATTTTTAGAGGGTGTTGAAGGGAGGGGGATTGGCCTCTCGTCAGGGCTGTGGATTGAGCCTGCAACCAACCAAGGTACATGCCCTTGACCTAAATTGAACCCAGGACCCTTCAGTCTGCAGGCTGACACTATCCACTGAGCCAAACCAGCTTGGGCCCTTTTTATGTTCTTAACAGTGGTTTGATAGTAGTAGTTTTAGTTTTGAAGAGTACAAGTTCATTATTTTCTTTTGTATTTGTGCTTATTGTGTTTTGCGTAAGAATTTTTGCCCAGGATCACAAAGATATGCTTCTATGTTTTCTTTCAGAAGATTTATAATTTTAGGATTTACATTTACGTTTGTTATCACTATTGAGTTAATTATTGTATATGATATGAGTTATTTTTCCCATACGAATATCTAATCGGTCCAGCATCATTTATTGCAAAGACTTTTCTTTCCACGTTGGAATTGCACTGGCAACTTAGTAAAAAGTTATTTGTCTGTATATATAGTGAATTTATTTCCAAATTCTCTATTACTACAGGCTCAGTGCATGGATTCGTGCACCGGTGGGGTTCCTTGGCCTGGCCTGCGGGGATCAGGCCAAAACCGGCTCTCTGACATCCCCTGAGGGGTCCTGGATTGCGAGAGGGCACAGGCCAGGTCTAGGGACCCCATCGGTGCATGAATCTGTGCACGGGCCTCTAGTATGCATATAAGATCTTTGATTAATCTCTTCCTGCCCTCCCCCCTCCCACCTTCCCTCTGAGATTCATCAGTCTGTTCCATGTTTCCACGCCTGTGCATTGAGCATCTGCCCCCTGGTGGTTATTGTACATCATAGCTAACAGACAGTCAGCCAGTTGGCCAGTTGGCCAGTCGCTTAGGCTTTTATATATATACTAGAGGCCCAGCACACGAAATCATGTGCGGATAGGGTCCCTAGGCCTAACCCTCAATCAGCGCCATCTTCTGCCTGCTTGCCAGTCTCCAGTCCCACCCCACCACTGCCACCCACCCGGTTCCCCTCACCAGTCCCCAGTCCCGCCCCACTGCCGCCACCCACCCTGGTTCCCCGTTTGCCATCCTGCAGTCAGAGCCTGTGGACTGTGGGGGGAGGGACTGAGAGGTGGTCAGTGCACCTCATAGTGACTTGTCCAGTGATCATTCTGGTTGCTACACCATTATGGTCACTGGGCTTTTATTATATAGGATATATATATAGACTAGAGGCCTGGTGCACAAAAATTTGTGCACTCGGGGTCGGGGCGGGGGGGTCCCTCAGCCCGGCCTGTACCCTCTTGCAGTCTGGGACCCCTTGGGAGATAACGACCTGCTGGCTTAGGCCTGCTTGCGGGTGGCAGAGGGCAGGCCCAATCCCTAGGTGCAGCCCCTGGTCGGGCTCAGAGCAGGGCCGATTGGGGAGTTGGGGTGCCTTCCCCTGTCATGCACAGAGCAGGGCAGATCGGGAGGTTGCAATGCCACCCTTAGTCACGCTCAGGATAGGGCCGATTGGGGGTTGGGGCACCACCCCCTGTCACACTCAAGGCAGGGTCGATGGGGAGGTTGCGGCGCCACCCCCTGTGACGCACAGAGCAGGGCCAATCAGGGTGTTGGGGCGCTGCCCCCTGTCACTCACAGAACAGGGCCCATCAGGGGGGTTGGGGCTCCGTATCCTGTCACGCACAGAGCAGGGTCAATCAGGGGGTTGGGGAGCTCCCCCCAGTCACTCACAGAGTAGGGCCGATAGGGGAGTTGGGGCACCGCCCCCTGTCACACACAGAGCAGGGCGGATCAGGGGGTTGGGGCGCCGCACCCTGTCACACTCAGGACAGGGCCGATGGGGAGGTTATGGCTCTACCCCGTTACACACAGAGTAGGGCCCGGGGGGGGGGCGGTTGGGGCGTTGCCCTCTTATCACCCACAGAGCAGGGATGATCAGGGGGTTGGGGTGCCGCCACTGTCACACTCAGGGCAGGGCCGATGGGAAGGTTATGGCTCTACCCCATCACACACAGAGCAGGGCCTGTGGGGGCGGGGGGGTTGGGGCGCCGCACCCTGTCACACACAGAGCAGGGCTGATCAGGGGGTTGGGGCTCCGCACCCTGTCACACACAGAGCAGGGCCGATCAGGGGGTTGGGGCACTGCAGCCTGTCACACACAGAGCTGCAGGGCAATCAGGGGGTTGGGGAGCTCCCCCCTATCAGGCACAGAGCAGGGCTGATCAGGGGTTTGGGGCGCCTTCCCCTGTTACGAGCAGAGCAGGGCCGATAGGGAGGTTGTGGCCCCGCCCCCTGTCACACACAGAGCCGCAGGGAGATCAGGGGGTTTGGGCGCTGCCCCTGTCATGCTGATCCCGGTGCCGGGAGCCTCACAGCTCCGCTGATCCCGGTGCTGGGAGGCATATTACCCTTTTACTATATAGGATAGAGGCCTGGTGCACGGGTGTGGGCCGGCTGATTTGCCCTGAAGGGTGTCCTGGATCAAGGTGGGGGTCCCGCTTGGGTGCCTGGCCAGCCTGGGTGAAGGGATGATGGCTGTTTGCAGCTGGTCACACCCCCTTCAGGGTGAGGGTCCCCACTGGGGTGCCTGGCCAGTCTGGGTGAGGGGCTGAAGGCTGTTTTCAGGCTGGCGGGTGACTGGAGCTCCCAACTGCTCCTTTTTTTCTTTTCTTTTTTATTCTGGGCCAGCTTTAGCTCTGAGGCTTGGCTCCAGCTCTTAGGCCTCCGCTGCTGAAAGCAGGTATCTGGTTTGTTTGGGTTCTATAATCGAAACACTGTTTCAACTCCAGCTCTGAGATCCCGGCTGGCTGAAAGCAGGTTTCTGGGGTTTTGTTTAGCTTCTATATTTGTAACAATGTTTCAAACTGCAAGCTCAGAGGCCGGCAGCGGCAGGCAGGGAACGTTGGAGTCCTCCGTCACTGAAGCAAGCAAACCTCATGTTCGCTTCAAGCTGCCTGGCTGCCGGCTGCCATCTTGGCTGGCAGTTAATTTGCACATCGCCTTGATTAGCCAATGGGAAGGGTAGCAGATGTACAGCTAATTACCATGTTTCTCTTTTATTTTTTTTAAATTTTTTTTAAAAAATATATTTTATTGATTTTTCACAGAGAGAAAGGGAGAGAGATAGAAGAGTTAGAAACATCGATGAGAGAGAAGCATCGATCAGCTGCCTCCTGCACACCTCCTACTGGGGATGTGCCCGCAACCCAGGTACATGCCCTTGACCGGAATCGAACCTGGGACCTTTCAGTCCGCAGGCCGACGCTCTATCCACTGAGCCAAACCGGTTTCGGCATGTTTCTCTTTTATTAGATATGATTGTGTTCCTTCCGTCTATATTTTTTCTACCCTTATGCTAATACCACACTGTCTTAACACATTGTATGCAGGAAACGTATTTATATGTTTTACGTTGACTGGTAGTAGAGCGTGGGACACGTATTTTATAGACGCGGGATACGTTTTTTATAGTCTAGCCGTAGAATGCGGGTAACGTATAAATACGTAATCGTAATTTTACTGAACGTTGCCATTTGCGCAAAAAATTAGCAAAAATAGCCCGCGCCACCTGTTAGCGCGTGATAAAAACTACCTGCAAACAATGTGTTAATTACTGTAGCTTTATAATAAGTTTAAAAATCTGTTCAGTAAGGCCTT